GGAACATTCTACAAGGAAATATGAGAGTCAAGCCAAAAGCGATATTTAGAACTGAGAGAAAGCAAGCATCAAGTCATGAAAGGAGGAATGATGAGCCATGGTCAAAATCATTAAATAAAAGTATTCAAGGTATATTTCCCTGGAGTACACACTGTCACACGCACACACACAAACAAAATCAATGCACTGATGGAAGAACTGAGTTTTGATTTGCTCCTGAATTTCTGTCATCTGTCAGGAGACTTTTTGGTCTGACACTGCAGATCCTACATGAACAGTGCTGATACTGGTCTTAATGAAAACTTGGCTTAGAAAGAACCACAGTCAATGCAGCTGCTTCCTCCTCCACATTTTGAAGATTAAAGATATTAGAAGTAAAACACAGAAAATGATTCATGGCTCAGAAATTGAACTTGTACTGGGAAGGTAAAAAGCGTACACTGGAGGAGATGGAAAATCCATAAATCTGAGCTGTGTAAAAAACATCTCCCCCTTAAATTCTGTCTTTATTATAGCAGAAATGGGACAAAAGAAAAATACACTCAAGGAGAAAGGCAAATCTACAGCAGAATAGTCAGCCTGTTCTCCTCTGGGCTTATAAACAGCAGACTCAAATAAAAATCCTTGGAAGTCCTTGGGAAAAGGATACTCTTAGCAGGTTACAAATATAGAAATGGAAAAAAACCCCAGTATTTTCCTAAGGGGAATGAAGAGGAAGTCTTGGTAAGGTGCCAAAAGTCACAAAATTGATTCTGATTCAAAATGATTATTGATGAAGTCTCTGTAGCAATAGCCCCAACACAGTAAGCTAAGATCTTCAGTTTGGTTAGAGAAGAAATTACCACATCCATTTCTGCAGCCTTGATCTACCATCTCAGGCTGAGCTTACACAGAAAAATAACCCCACGTACTTGTGTCACTGTGTAACGGGAGAAGAATTAAGATGCCCATCTGCATTACAGTGGAATAACATGAAAAGTTGGACAAGGTCTTTCTACTATTGGTCGGACAAGGTCATGCACAGCAAAGGCTGAGGAGTACAGGTGCTATTATATTAGTATTAGTACAACTGTAATAGGTCTCTAAAGGGATTTTAATCAAAGATATTTGAAAAACAAAGCTGTTTAATTAATGGTTCTACACTGGCCCTCTTTTCTAGATCCTGCAAAGAATATATTCACTTGAGAAAAAGAAGAGTAGTTTCCTTACCCAATTTTACTACTGAGTTTCAGGACTGGTTTTCCCTTTTTAATTCCAGCTCAGCTTAGAGGATCTTGAGAATCTGCAGATAAACTGTCCTTGCCATTCTGTAAATACAATGCTCATACAGCAGTGTCCAGGAAGGACAGCTTTGCTTTAAGTCTGGGTAGATTTGACATTTGCTCAAAATCCTGGCTTGATCTTTGGATGCAATACAATGTCCCAAACCCCACCAAATTCATATCCTGGTTATGCACCTGCTCTCCATAAAATTGGACAAGTCTGGTCTCCTGGTAAGTCATCACTTAGAGAAATCATAAATGATTTAGAAACCACTAAAATAGCAAACAGAAAAAGGGGCTTCCTGGATATTTTATCCAAGGTACAAGACAGGCTCCAGGCAAGATTTACGGGATTTTTGCCACCATGACCAGATGAGTCTTCTTCATTCTGGTACAACATGGCAGCTTAAGCAATCTTTAGAGGGTTAGTAAAGGTCCTTTTGGCTGACTACTTTTCAGGATGCAAACAGTGCTTTGTGAGGTGTAGTTAAATATGAAAAGTACTTCTGGAACACAAAGATGGATAATCATGCATGGCCAAGTTTTCTGGTTTTATTCCCAGCAACAGCCACCAACCAAGCTTGCCCAGAGCAGCCTTAATCAGGTCATAAATCAGTGGAATAGAGAAATGAAATTGTCCTTCGTGGGACCAAAAGAACATCCGTATTTCTGAAAGAAGAATCTAGGGATTTCTGCAATTACAATTCTGCAATGAGTGTACCACATTCCTGATGCTCCTTGGTCCATGTCAAGCAAACGCTCTGAGTTGAATGATTTTCAGATTTACTTTGGTCGGTCAATAGCGTAGGAATGGTTTATGTTGTGGCTCTCATTGATGAATTGATTCTTTCTGAATTTGATGGGTATGGAAAGAAAGGAACTGCATGAAACAAGTATCTTTTTCTTCTTTAATCCTCCTTGCCCTCAAATAGCAAGCTTTCAGCTGTCTGTTCTTATGGACTGCAAAGGCCAGCAGCTCTGCTGTACTCCTGCAGTCCTTAGGTCCAGTTGTGACTGGGCCTAGGTGATCCACCAGTGTCTCTAGATGTTACACAGAGGTAGCTGTGAAGTACATGGCAAGTTATACTGTAATTCTCATGTGAGAATATGGCGCTTCATACGCTCCAAAGTATCACTAGACTATGAGCTGATACTGATGTATGTCCATGAAGTGGACAACCCCCAGGGCAATAGGAGAGAAGCCGTCACAGGACTTCAACAGCAGCGACAAAACCTTCTAAATAGGTAAATTTTTATCTGACTGCTCAGGCACTCTTACCTTTTCTACCTTCCTTCCAACCAGAGCAATAATCTCTATTTCTTTGCCTGTCTTTATACCTCTAACTGAATTTTGTTTACCACCTTCAAAAATTACACAATAGCTACATACAAAATACATGCAACTGAAATTGCTGTGCTGTTGTGAGTCAACATCTTTTAATGATGCTGACTTTGATGCAAGCAATATATCCAATGTGGATTAATTGTTTTTCAACATCCCTTTCCACAAGTTCATCACTTTGGATCTTTCTTTCCTTTGGAACAAAAGCACATTTTGAAATTTGGGAATTTTCCCCAGCACAGAAACCTTGTTTTCCACAAGATCTAATCCATGGTGAGACAGTTCTGGTCTGGGGAACAGCAGCCGTTGTATATGGTCAAGAAAGAACATGAAAGAGAATGCTTAGTAAATGCACTGGGAATATAAAATGGGTGCTTTTACTAACTGTCAAGGACTGGGTTTATATTATCTCCCACGAGAAAACTTACACAGGTTTTTGACAATAATATATGGTCATGGAAGTAAATTTAAATTTATTCATAGGCAAAGGTTTTTTTTAAACTATAAATCATATCCGTGAAGTTAAAAAAAAAATAAATTCAATGAATCCGGATGCTTGGAATATAGCCGTTCAGTTTCCCAAATGGCTGTGTCATTCAGTCAACTCTCATAAAGGCTCCTGTCTGCTCAAATGAGGTTTCATTTATACTCATATTTAGAAATGGTTCACACTTTAGAGGCTGATATTTCTAGCAGCACTCAGATTTAGGATATGTGGAACACAGGTGCAACAAAGATGCTATTCATTATTTCATAGTCATCAATTTTAATGGCCTCTTACCAAAACAGTTGTTAAACGCAGCTGAGAAAGAGACACACACAAACTGACCCGTGATTAGTCAAACACCATAAATAACAAGCACCAAATAGATGACGTGCAAGTTTGCAAACGTCCCATGATATTTTTTTCACAGAATCATAGAAACAACAAGGTTGGAAAAGGCCATTAAGATCATCAAGTCCAACCATTACCCCAGGACTGCCAAGGCCACCACTCAAGCATCAACACAGTTTTGGAACACTTCCAGAGATGGTGATTCTGCTCGTTAGGCATCAGATTCATTAACAAAATCAGGAGGAATCATTTGCACAATCCAGAAAGACCACAAACAGAAAATGAGGCTAAGCATATTTGCTTGTATCACTGTGCAATGGCCTAGGGTTTTGAGGCACCAGACTGGGACCCAAACAACTTTCGCACTCATCCTGCTGGATGACTCTGAGTGTGTGATTTCCTCTCAGTTGGGATTAATTGCTTTAGCTTAAGGAAGGAATAACTCTACTGACCTTCTTTGTAAAGTACTTAGAAACACGCAGGTGGGAAGCATGTAGCTGCAAAGCAGCACAGGAGGAAGGACAAACCATACTCATCCCTGCCATACCATGTTAGACGCTGCTTACAACCAGGTTGTTCAACCTGAATGTTCGATGCCCACCCATCACTGCAATCTCATAGACTGACTTACAGTACTCTTTTACCAGCATCTGAGGATGGATTTTGTATTCTTTACAGACCATGAAAACACCAGTTATTGTAAATTAAATCAGGCAACCTTTCCTTACTGCAGCTCTTGTAACAGAATGTCCTTCAAATACAGAGGACAAATATAACTTGTGTGCCAACTGCATACAGTTTAAGTTTTCAAGTGTGATTTTAAAAGGGCCTTAAGCAGTTGCTCTCCCTTCGGTGGTGAATTTCACCTTCTGAAATATCACAGAGATTGAAGGAGGCATACAATCCTCCTCATTGCAACCCAACTTGTGTGTGCGTGTGAGAGAAGTGGAAATTTATCCATTATACTGATTTACTCTACCACTTGCTGATCAAACTGGAGGACATGCACCTCCTACCAGTGCTCAGCCTGGACATCAGAGGTTACCACAGAAAACTCTCAGTGTTTCACATGGAAACATCTAGCCCAGATATGATTAACACTTGATAACAATCCTGTCAAATTTTATACACCTTTAAACAGAGTTTACAGCAATAAGGTTTGCCACCATGCTACTATTTGTATCCCATAAACACAATTTACAGTGATAGACATATCAGTGATAATGACGCTGACAACAGCAGTCAGCAGAAGTGCAGACGTTGAGGAATATTCTTAGACAACATGTATTACTGCTTATAGCTCCAGAAACTTAGTTGAATACTAGAAGCTGCCACCTTTACTATAAAATAAAGACAAATATTGGTATTTCAAATGCAAAGATGAACCACTTTATGTGCACCTTCATAGACAAAATTTCTCAAATCACATATGTTCTCACAGAATAAAGTCTCTTCAGGGACACACTTCTCTGAATTTGCATGGGGTGTCTAAAATGTCACCAATTTACAATTCAGTTTGCTTTCTATGCAGGAGTAAATGAATGAAAATCAGTCAACTTACGATCTCCTTGACAACGCACGGGACCCACAGATACCTTGGCTTCAGACCCAGGCCGGTCAATGTCTCCAACCACTATCTGACTCACTGGTAGGTGCTCTTTGTATGACAACATCCCGGTGTCTTTTCTCCTGAATGACAGAGAAAAAAGGAAGCAACTGTGAAATAGATGAAAATAATTTCCTTGAACATTATTACTGCTCAATGAACTGCACCAAGAGAGCAGGTATGCAGCTGTTACACCAGTACAGTGTTACCCGCCTCAAACATCAGTTCGAGCAATAATGCTGTCTGTTTACTGGGAAACAAATGGATAGCAGCTACTGTCACCCAGGAACCCAGGCCGATTAGCATGGCCAGTCCTGGACTCAGCTGGGCTTGTGTGGGTCTCTCTGCTTTCCCAACTGACCAGATCCATGCTAGTAGCTAACAACTTGCTGTTGATCTTCCTGATGATGTCTTCTGAGAGGGAAAGATACCCTAATGCTTCCCAGAAGTGTATCTTTATTGCTCTAATTGCTGCCAGTTATTTTACCTCTGCATACCAAGTGCTTCTTTTATATTTAACATTTTTAGTATTAAAGGAGGGAAATAAAAACCTGATTACCTGGAAGGCTTGTCATAGTCCTGTCATTTCTAATACTAAATGACTAAGTCCAAAAGCTCTAAACTTGTGAATCTAACCATGAGTATAGAGTTAAAACCCCACTTTAGTTAGCAAGATCACTAAAATTCAAATTATAGTCATGTCTAAAAGCTCCTCATTTCACCTGCAGTGAAACGCAGTAACCTGGTGCCTTTTTCATGCCTAGGTCAAATCACTAAGCACAGTTACAACACGTATCCTTTATCATTTCAGAAGCTGAATGCAGCTGGCATGTTGAGTGCTCTTTCTTCCAAATAGCAAATAAAATAAACCAAAATATATCAGATACTTTATATCTCAGGTGCATTTTTGTTTATTTTTTGTTTTCTTACTGTTTGCTTGGCTCTTTTTTCACATAAACACATAGAAGGCCACAAATATCCACACAGGAAAAAACGCACTACATACAGTGTTAGGAATATGCTTTTTGACACAAAAGAAAGAGGAAGCAAAATTAAACCAACTTTTTTTCCTCTTTCTTTTTAGCTGTATCTTGGCATGCAGTCAAGTATCTAAAGTAAGGAACTTCTTGATCCAAAAATTAATTTCTTTGTTCAAAAATATCATAGGATGAGGAATGAATATAGGATCTGGAAAAGTTACTGAAGAGCACAATATGACTGTAACTGGGAACTCGTAAGGATTTCAGGAAACTGAAAGTCTTTTTCATCTCTAGTTTGGATGGTTCCATGACCTGACTCATATTGCTAATAACTAACTGGGAAGCACAGCAGGGATCTGCATAATGTATAAGAATGCTTGGAGTTTTCCAGTAGCACAGTAGTATTTTCCAGTAGTGTCCCCAGTCATCATCCTTAGTGGGTCCTTCTGAAGAGGTTGTTGGCAAAACATTATTTGTAAAAGCAGCACAACTAAAGTAATTAAGAAAACAACCATCACAGATCACTGGAACTCTTGTCTGCTCTCTGTGATGAAGAGAGTCATTAGAGATTTAATTACTAGAGTTTTTCAAATAGGAGATGACTGTTTTCCTGAATCTGCATGTTCTTCCCCTTCAGAGCACTTGCCTCTCTCCATGGGCCCTTTGTACTGCTGAGATCATTAACCCTCTCTGGTTGGACACAGCTATACCAGGTGCTGGATTGGTGTGGCTGCACCAGGGGACCGCTAGGAAGGAAGACAAATGGAGAGGAGTAACCCTCACAGGCTGCTTCTGCAGATTGTGCTAGGCTGTAGCGTACTGCTTTTCATCCACAGATTGCAAAGCCCTTTACAAAGGTACTGTATTCATCAATTTGGAGACAGGTGATATACGAAAAGGAAGATTAAAGGACTTTCCCTTTAAGGAAGGAAAGAGTGAATACAAAGCCATGTATATAGACCTAATCTTCCATTGCTGCTAAAGACCTGTATTCATGGGACCCACTCCATCCTAATAGAGGATAAACGTAGGTCATCTCTTTACTCTTTCTGAGATTTCCCTCTGAGACTAGCTTTCTTTGTCGATCGTTACTCTTTCAAAGAATGCTTTAAAGATGGACGTGCCTGTTGAAAAGAAAGAATTCTTCAAAGACCATTAAAGAGAAAACTATTGGCATTTCTCTTCTTCCCTTCCTCTCTCACAAAAAGGGCTAATATTTCAGCTCCAAATAAGGATGTCAAAGGGCTGCCCTTTTCCTGTCACCAATAGCTTTCACCTTCTTTGAAGGAAATAAAAAGGAACAGTAACACTTTTCTTCCTCTTTACTGACCATGTTTCTACTAATTTTAATATCTGACTTATGTGTTTAGTGATACGGTCACTTTAAGGCTGTTGCCATGACAATAAAACTAAATGTTAAGAGTTCTGTTCAGAAATAGCCTTATTTTCTGATAATTGCTTACTTGTCTCATCATCATTCTCAACTGCACAGAAGCTCTTGAGGGCTTGGAGTACTGGACAAAGAGTTAGGGAAAGGGAGTTGTCTTTTCTTCAGCAGATCCTGCATAGTTTGTTTGGTCTTAACAAAAAAGATAGCTTTTGGTCAACATGTGCACCAAAAAGACATATACACTTAAGACACTGTGTGGCTTTGTGATGCTTTTCTATGGTACTTGTAGTTCCTCTGGACATAGCAGTAGGTGCTGACAAAGTCAAAAAAGTTATAAACCAAAGACTGAATATAATGCTTGACTTTGTACTACACACTTAGAAATAATCACAGCTGGAGCACTCAATTCCTGCAAGTGATAATGTTCCTGCCGGTATTTAAAGACTTTGCACATTAAGAGGATGGAGAAAACCTCTGAAGTTTTCCCTCACCAAAGAAAATCCCCTTAAGAGAATAAAGATTGAATTCAGAGTGTGTCATATTCCTATTAATGACCAAATGGGAGATGAATGAATCTGATCAAATCCTGTAATTATTACCAGGAGATATTGATGAAATCTCAGTGTAATTTTCTATTTCTAATTTCTTTGCCTACATATAACAGTCTGCAAAGTGCTTCAGGCTCCCTTTGAACGAAAGCAGCAGATATTAGTGTAAGATTTATCATTGTTTTGATTATGATCATCTACTTACTCTTTATAAGCATTCTGTGGTATGCATATATCAGCAAATGAGATATTCAAAGTAATGATAAGATTCTGTATTGCTATTAATTTGCTTATATGATGATTTAATACAACCAGACTTCTGTTACTGGATTGATTTATTTTCTCCAATTTCTTTAGACATCCCTTAATTATCAGTCCAGTCCTATAGGGAAACAAATAAAGAATGTACCACAGGTAGGAATAGAGTTGATTTTAAAAGATATGCTTACATGAGCTGAGGAACAGGAATTGTTTTGAGAATACAAATAAAAAACCTACTGGATTGAAACTGCAGTGTTAAACACATATTATTTAGCATCAGAGACTGTAGCGATAGGACAGGTGATGGGTTTCAACTTCAATAGGGGAAGTTCCAGTTAGATATAAGGAAGAAGTTCTTCCCTGTGAGGGTGGTAAGGCCCTGGCACAGGGTGCCCAGGAAGTGGTGAATGCGCCATCCGTGGCAGGGTTCAAGGCCAGGTTGGAAGAGCCTTGGCTGACATGGTTTAGTGTGAGGTGTCCCTACCCATGGCAGGGGGTTGGAACCGGATGATCTTAAGGTCCTTTCCAACCCAAACCATTCTATGGTTAGCTATGGTCTGACGAATAAAAAACTCCCACATGTTCCCATTTCAAAGGTATTCAACTGACCACCCCTCTGAAGACTCAGATTTTTAGTATGCAAGCACCTTTACTGTAATCCCCGAATTTCCATGATCTATCTGAGAGAGGTATAAAGCAGTTTTGTCCAGCTAGTATCTGCATGTGACTGTAAAAAACATCGTGTAGGGGATTGGTGTACCGAGCATTAGCATTTTCTCTCTTCCAGAAATATCTGGCAAGGATTTTATTTATATTTGAACTGCTAAGAAGAGCTGGTAATACAGAGAATTTAATGAACAATGCCATTTTGGCAGCAGCCTTAACAATCTGGAAGTGAGTTTCTTGGAAATATGCAAGTTCTAATTAACAGGATTAAAACAAGGGCAAACAAAAGCTAGGATTAAAGCAGAACTAGCTAACTTTTGAAAGGATTTGATGAAAGTTAGTTAACTTTCTGTGATGTACATACCATGCAGCACAAAAGTCATACTTTTAGATTCACCCTGTTCCCACAGCTCTGTGCTTCTAAGGAATTATAAACTGCCAACAATATAATCCAAGATGAAAACTTTTTTCTACTCGAATTTGCTGTTGTCTGGGATTCTTTATAGGTCCCTTTCCCACCTTAGATACCACCCTTAAATTAAACTGGAGCTAATGACTCTCCCTTACTGTGGCTGCTAAGGGGTATTATGAAAAAAGTCTCGTTACTTTATGGGATAGTATAAACAGTCAGAGAGTCATAATTCAACTTTTTTTCCCCACACTGGCATTAGACAGGCTGAAGTCCTACAAAGTATGTTGTTCTCATATTCCTAACAGCAAAAGAAGTTTGAACTCTTAAAATTAGGACTGATCTTAAGGCAGTTAAGCTGCTCATCTAGCACACAAACAGGAAAGAGTGCCAACCTTCAGCAACATGCACTTCACTACGACGTAACCGGTATTTCGCTTGGGTAATCACAACCTATATGCACATACAACTGCTAGCCTTGTGGTGCAAAAAGGGTTTGTAAGAAGTTCGTTTCAGTGGAAAATGGTGAAGTAAAACAGGGAAGCAGTCTGGATGTTTGTTTTTGAGAGCTCTCAAGAAGAGCTCACCTTCTCACCTCCATCTAAATGATACAATGAAAGACTGAGTGATCCCAGCACCCAAATTACTAACATAAACATGTCCATCCTTTGCCTTCGATTAGTAAAGACTAATTCCGTCAAACCCATGAGGCTGATGGTGTAGCAAGCATAAGTAATCCTTGCTTAGAAATTATACGAGATTGATTAAATTATTTTAGACTAATTTACTATACAAGCATAATATTCGTAACTAGTCCCACAAGAAGAAT